CCCCAAAACCCCAAAACCCCAAAACCCCAAAACCCCGTGATCACAAGAGAGAATTGAATCTTATACATTTTGATATTACAATCTCAAAGAAGATGTATATTAAAAAGTCAATTTAAGCTTATTTTAGGACAAAATTCTGATCAACAAAATAATCATATTTAAGTATTAGCACTTCCTCTCCACATTTCACATACCTTCATCCCTCTCAATCTCACTTAATCTCCCCCATCCACCTCTTTTCTCCTCCTACAACCCTCAAATTTCCCAAAAACTCTTCCTAGTCATCCCCATTTCCTCAACTTCAGCCCACTAAACCTCACTCCCCCCAAATCCCTATCAGTCCAAAATTGCTTATTTCTCCAAAATTCTAAATTTTATACTAAATTTTTCAAAAATTAGGATTTCAGGAAGAATTTAGAGTCGATCAGAATTCTTGGTCTCTTCTTTGAGGCCATTTTGGAATAACGGAGGGAATATGTTCATAGATGTCATGTGTCGGTGGGAGAGATGGCCCAGAGTGGTGGTACGTAAGGTAGTAGGGCCTGATTCGTGACGTTTGATCGTGTTTCTTCCGGATTCTTGGAAGGAGTTACGCACTTCTGGTATTTGGTCTTTAAATATATCATTCCCCATTCCTATAATTATTGAGAGAGAGTATTTAATGGCTTACTTTTTAGAGCTTTATTAACTTTCTTTTGCTTGCGACGTTCAAAAGTTTTTGCCTTCTTGAGCTTTCTTTTTTCTTGTTCAGACAAATAAGCTATGAAGTTGTGAGCTTGTTATATCTTACCTTTATGATCTTTGTATTTTAGGATATCTTCATACTTTGAACTCATATTTGCTATAAAATTTCACATTATTGTACAAATAAATTTGCTTACCTTTCTTCCTTCGCTTCTTTCTTTTAGAAGGAGGATTCTCTGAGTGCTCTGAATTTTCTTCAATAATTTCTTCTTCAGTTGTAGAGCTAATCTGGGCTGTTTCTCCCATAATTGTCATATTAGTAACATCAAAATAGCATTGTCTCATGTCCTTCTTAACTTTTTCTTTAAAATATTGTTAGAGAAATAGAAATAGATAAATAAAAAGTCTTTTAATATAGAATTTGGAACTTACTTCTCTTGGGTTTTGATGCTGGAGCTGGCTCTGGCTCAGGCTACAAAATTTAGTGAAGTTATACCTCTACTTTCTCCTTTTTCTTGAAATAAATGATTGCCTCTATAGAATTTTGCTTATAAAATACCTTTAATAACTTTCTTGGCTTGGATATAACCTCCACACTAAAAATTATCTATGGAAATACTGTTTGAAGGAATATCACTGTTGAAGTGTTTAAGAATATCAGTAAGACAATGATCGATGTAGAGGAGTCTATACATTTTCATAAGCATACTTACATCCTTTATAATCGTCAGCAGTTCTTAGAAGAGCAAATAACAAGATGAATACTCATAGGAATGCTTCATTGATTCTGTATATATTGTTCAGTGGCCACCATTCAAATTTAGGATACATCACGGTCTGATACAGATACAATATCTGGAAGATATAGAGAGCCATAAATTGCATCCACACTGTGTCTTTCGTAAAAACATCAAAAGCAATGATCAGAAAAGTGAACACAACGATTCTGGTCAACACAAGAGGTACATGCAATGCAGCAACTGGCTCTTTAGATAAATCAGCAAGTAGTTCTTCATAAAACATTTCTTCTTTTCCTAGAAAATGTAAACTATAGCTTACCTTCATCTTCCTCTGTGCTCTCAGATTGGCCTTCCTCATAGTCTGAATCTTGCTCTCTTTCTAGTTTTCTTTGAGCTTTTTTTTGAGCAATTTCAATTCTTTCAATAAACTCACAGAATCAGATGCCCCATGTAAAACAGTAGAACAAGAAATACCCAATGAATATAATTACAGAGAGAGCTAGTGAAATCATTTGGAAGCCTGTCTCCAATTTGTTAGTCTTCATTTCATTAAGAGTGATGATCATTACTCCCATGAAAGATTCTATCATTGCTCTAAAATAGAGTGACCAAAAGTTTTTAGACTCAAACAGTTTTCCTATTTTAGACAGCAAAGACTTGAGCTTTCCAGGCTTATTTTGGGTTTGGAGGATCTTGTTTGGGATCGCTTAAATCTTCATCATCTTCTCCTTCTCCAGAATAAGAGTATCCAGCACTCTCATAATCAGATCCATTATCATCTTCAAAGCCTATGTGTTCATCCTTTGATTCTTCCACTAAATTTGGGTTAAGATTTTAAATTATTTGAGTAATGAGAAACTTGTTCATCTTCAGAAAATATTTTAAGCAATTTTTGTAATTTTTCAGCAGAATTTTATACTTGGCTAACATAAAAATACTAAGACTGTCATAAAGCATTACTTATGTTATCATGTTTATATTTATAGTCCTCATAACTCTTGCTTATATCTTGACAGAATCCAACATTGGTGGTATTATGTCTCTCTTTTGAATCTTCATCTTCTACTTGGTCTAACTCAGGTGTTAACTCTTCTATTCCAGGCTCATTATTTTCGAGTTCAAATTCAAGACCCTCGAATCCTGACTCAAGATCTTTAGTTTTATCCTGTTCAGAGTTTTGCTTGTGCTCTTCTTTTTCCTCTTCATCCTGACTTGATCCTCCTTCAAAGTCAATCTCCTGATTTCCATTTGTGAAAAATTTCCAGATACTCTTGATAATAAAAGAGAGGAAATGAATCATAGAGAGTAAGAAGAGTCAACCGAAAAGTTTCCAATACTGGCCTGCTCCACTTTCCCATTCAAAGCCAACATCTTTGATTCTGTCTGATCTTTGAGGAGTGTCTAATAATCCTTTGATGAAGAATGGGGTTGAAAATACATCAGGAAGGAAGTTGTTCATAAAGTCCAAATCTAGCATTACAAAACTTTGCTGAGAAATTAAGAATTTAACTCCTTCTCCAATGTAAGCATTTATAAGGAGGAAAAGCAGTAAGAGTTTCTGCTGATTGAAAACCATCCAAACTCCTTGTATCAGGGAACCACCAAGGATTGAAGTTACAGCTGATACTATCAGGCCGACAATGAATGTACTCTTCTGTAAAAAATTAGCAAGTGCAGGATTTCCTCCTTCGCTGTTTTCTTCCTCAAATTTTACATAGCCTACTGCTCTTACATTTTGATTGGTAGAGTTGGCAACTAATACAAAATTAGTCAGTAATTAATAATACACTTACTGAAATAAAATTCTGAGCTGGTCAAACTCTCTTCTGCACTTCTAGAATTTTGTACTTTCAAGTTTCCAGTTGTTGAATCAACACTGATATTATACCCAAGACTTTTTGTGGGGCTTATTTGATAAAAAGTATAATCAAGCGACATTGCTCCATTTTGTGAGAGAGGCGGACAGAAATCAGTAGTAGTTGTTTGTGCTAATCTTATCTTTTGCACTTCATCGTCGTTTTGAATGAATACTAAGTCATAACCCCATTGTAGATCACTCTATACGGTTATTCACTAGGTTTAAAATAACTCACTCTTGGATTTTTGGAAGAGCTGATGCTAGTGATAGAGAGGAAACCATATGTGCTTAGGGTTATCGAAGAATTGCTTGCATAATCAATAGGTGCATTTGCAATGAAAACGGATATTGATGTACCTGTCGATAGATAGATAGTTGAAAAATCAGTATGCTCATCTAAGCCTATAACATGGTCATTTATTGTAGAAGAAATGAATTTAAAGTCATGAAGTCAAGAAAGACATACCGAAATCAACTCTCCCAATTGTCATATTCGTTCCATTGCTGCCAAGAACAACAGTACTAAAGCATTAGCTATGGTTTACCTTATATCAGTAAAATGAAGCTTTGTGTATCTTGAGGATGAGTAGTAAACAGGATTGTCAAACGTATTTGATTCAGTATTATACTTTGCAAACATCAGCTGGGTTGAGGAAACTTCATAGACTGCCCATACTTCTTTGTTATCATTGCTATTCAAAATTATTAGTCTTTGATTTATATCATAATTAACAAAATAATGAAAACTTACTTCAAAGCAAGATCATGAGACCGTATACTAGAAAATGTTAGCTTAAATTCGAATGAATTAGATCCTGAGAGATTAAGCTCTCCTATTTTAACAGATAGAAAATAAAGTCCATTATTTCCATGTTTGACCAAGACATAAAAAGTATTAGTATTCTCATTGACTAGCATTTGTGGATCGTCCTCGGTTATACAATTAGTGGAGCCGCCAAGTCAATCTATTCCGAATCTTGTGCTGGGTGTTTCATTACTCACATCATATTCAGAGAATGCAAGATGATTAGAACCGACAAGTTCAAACATAATCTATAGTTTGTAATACAAGCTCACAATTATCTTATTAACAGTCCTAGCTAGAACGATCTTCTTAAGATTGTAAAAGCCATCATAGAATCTTTTTCAATTCAAAGGTTCGACTGACTGCCCAGAGATATCCAAGGTGCAGAGCTTGGAAAGATAAATTGTACTGGTTAAGTAGAGATCTAGGGCTGAGAGGGGGAGCTTACAGACATGGCTACTGTTTTTTGATTCCATGTGAATTACGCTTGTGGATATGTCAAAATTTGTACTAGAGACGAATAAGATTAGTGAAAGATTAATAAGAATCACAAATGGCTAGTATTAAAGCCTAAAATAATCACCCACCAAAGAATAAACCTTTTGTAGAGCTTGAGCCTTAGATAAAACTAAACAATACCCCAAAAACCTCTCCCTTCCTCCAAATTCCACTCCAAAATTCTCAAAACCCCACCCACACCCACCTCCATTCCCTACTCCTCACAATCCACCCACTCCATAAAAATTCCCTTTACTTCCCAACCTCAATTTCCCCTCTTCACAAAATCTGAACTATAATTCCAAAAATACATCCCACAAGACCTCTTCTGTTGCATACAAATATGTAGGATTTTGACTGTGGTAGATTTTGAGTAGGAATTTAGGAAGGATAAGGAGGGGTTTTGAGGAAATTTGAGTGGGAAGTAGAAGGTTTGGCTTGAATTACTTACTTTGTGTAGCAGAAATAGGTCTGAAGGTCTTTTTCAAGAATGTCATTGGTACAGAATATTATAGTTCCTAAGAGTCCAGTTGAAGCATATGAGGTAACCAATCTTTGTTGGTCTGTAGTAATCACAAATCTCTGGAAATCTACATTATAGAATTTCGACCAATCAAAATCAAGAGTGTATAAGTTTAGTCTGGAGATGACACTTCCTGATGGAGATGAGCTAGAAGAGAGGATGTAGATCGAATCCTCGAAGTGACTTGTTTGTCTATGGGGTTAGTGGAGACATACGTGATAGTAGTGGAGTAGGAAGGGTATGAGAAAATGTTTCTATCGTTGGCCTTGATTAGATAGGTCTGGGCTAGTTCCCTGCAGTTGATACTATAGAATTCGATAAATCATCCTCTGAACTTCAAGTTCAAAATTTCTTAAAGTATTCAAATTCTGACAAAAACCTAACCTCTGTTAACTTACTCTTTTGCATGCACTTTTTCTGCTAATTTTCCAAGTCAACAAAATCAAATAATAAGCATGATCGCAAAGGATCATCCTTTAGCTTCTATATAAAGAAAATTTAAATAGATACCTAAGGAACCAAAAAATTCAAATAAATCAACTTTGGAATTTAATATTTCTTAAACAAACTGAGACTTGGCTACAAAATGAAAAACTTAAATTAATGAACAAAAGTGTCTGATCCATACTTAGGCTTACCCAAAAAAATTAATTTGATCTAAATAACTTACTATCCCATCTTTCTTATAAATCTTTCTTCCAAACTTTAATACAAAATTACTAATTTACCGCAAAATCCCAAAACAAAGAGATGACTCCCTACAAACCTCTACACATACTCTCCAATTATTTCAATCCCATCTGCCTGCAATCTCCAAAATCCCTAAAACCCACTCTTAGAACACCCACAATAACCTACTACTAAATTTCTGCCAAAACTTCTGACAGAACTCAGCCTATTCGAAAATTTAATAAAGGTTTAAAGCCGAATTCTAAAATAGGGAATTATAGAGACTTTAAAGAAGGAATCAAGGTTAATTGTTATATTAATAATAAGCTGTTGTTATTATGGTATATGGGTTATTAGGGATAAGGATATGAGACAAGCAGGAAAGTGTTTGGCAGATGAAGTAGTGGGACAGATGGGAGGAATTCAAAGAGCTGAGCTCAGGACTTAAAGGGGTTTAAAGTTCTTGGCTTAGTTGTATTATTGGCTTGGATTACTTTTTACTGTATGTGCAGTCTCAGTTTTCGAAACAAAGTGGAAAGTTGATGTTTAGTTGATGGCTGTTTGAAAGTATTTTTTGGAAATTTTGGTAAAGGAATTTATCAGATTTTAGGTAAAAAGGAGAGAAGATACATACTTTTGCTAAGCATTTCTGAAATATTATTTATATCAAGCAGTTTTAATTTTGGGGTTTTGGGGTTTTGGGGTTTTGGGG